GGCATGGAAAAGACAGGTTAGAGCATTAGCTTTGAGGTCACTCCCAGAGCTTAAATGGGAGAGGCATGTGCCCACCCTTCTTCCCCTTACATTCAACTAAAAGAGTGTTGAGTTTTGTTGTTGTTATTAAGAAGGGTGAATCCTGCTTTTCCTGGGCTACAACAGGGTCTTCTGTCTTCTTGGGGGCAGTTTTCCATTCTTGGCAACCTTGTGATGTTTGCCACTTTTCACACCAATATTTAATGAAGACCAACTAGTTTCTCATAGCTCAACTACTACAGCTGAGAAGGACAAGAATTTGACACTAACACGTGGGATTTTTTTTTAGCAACAGGATCTGGGTGTTCCCAAGGAAATTCTCACAGACATTCCAGGTTTGGCCCTGCTTCTGGTAGCTTCTGTATTAGTCTGGTGGATGTGCATTAAGGGATACCAATGTGACACTGGAAAGATCACAACCTGTTATCTTCCCTTTTGCTGATGTGTCTCCCTTTTCTCAGAGGGATATTCAAAGTAGGATGGTGAAAGGACCAATGAGGAGAGCTGGAGGGCACAATGAGGTGGTACAGCTCATAACTCCAAACTCCAAACCCCTTTTAACAAAGTCTCTCCTACAATATGAGCCTTTGTTTCCTCATTTATAACTTGAGCAGGTGGGGCTAGATGTTACTTAAAGGCCATTTCATCACTGCCATTCTTGAGCCTTATGGGACAAGGGGATCATACTAGTAGACTCAGCTAAAGCCACAAGAAATGGCAGTCACATCTGTCTTGACCCTGTTACAATAATTACCAATAATTCTCCCTTTCACTCTAATAGTGAAATTACCACTTTTTGAGGATTTGTTACGTATCAAATACCGAACTAAGGACTTTCTATGGATTATTTCATGTCATCTTTATAATAATCTTATGGTACTATAAATTACACATGTTTTGTGGATATGGAGAACTAGTGTTCAGGGAAGTAAAATGATTTTTTCATGGTTGCCCAGCTAACTGACAACAGATCTAGAATTCAAGCCCACATTCAACCTCAAAACTTAATTGTATAACCTCAGCACTATGAGAGCACACTTTGAGAGAGTTGGGAAGAAGGGGGAGCAAGGACATTGATCCTGGGACCTGGTCATTTACTCAAGTCACGAAGGTAAGATGAAAAATTATACTGTCTCTACTGCATAGGGGAGACTATGGAAGCTAGGGGTCCCTAGAAATGTCAGAGCTACAGGTCTCTGGTTTGACGATCCCCAAGCTGAACACTTGGGAACTCACTGGAGTATCAGGCAGGCCTTCTGTACTTACCTGGTTAGAAGCCTTACATTTATTTGCTCACTTCTCTGGTCTGATGCCTCAGTTGGCCCCCCCAGTCTTTGTTGTGTGACTTGACCACTTCTTTTCTCTGCAGGGCCACATCTTCCAGGAAGATCTCCTCTCCTCATGGAAGGCTCTGGCCTGGCCTCTTGCAGTGCCTCGCTCCGTGTATTTGACAAGCTGAGTTGGACACTCCGTGTGGTAGAGTGTCAGTTTGTCAAATACCCCAAGTGCGGCACATGCTTAGCAGCTCCAGGCCAGGGAAGATGGAGTACCATAAACAGACTGCCTACAAGGATCCAAGAATACTCATCAAACACCAAGCTCTCACACGTTATTTTCTGTGACCTTATGGGAACTGAGACATTGTATCTGAGGGCACCAGAGGAAAAGTGAGGCTAGCTCTGGCAGCTACATCTTTGAGTTGTGTATACAAGCATCTCAAGAGTGTTGAAGGGGACACAATAGTTATAAGGGACCCGGAGATAGATGTCATCTTTCTTTATAATTATTTACTTTCTTTACATTCCCTGTTCAAAGTTGCCCAGCCAAGACACCATAATCCTCACACAAAAGCATCATAGCTTAGTAACCCACTTTCCTGAACACTTAACGTTGGCTACTAGATACACCTTGAGCTTTCCTACTTCTTCTTTTCCCTCATGCCTTTTTTCCTTATAAGAATACCTTTTATATTTCTTTCTTTCTTTCTTTTTTTTTTTTGACAAACAGAGTTAGACAGAGAGAGAGAGAGGGAGAAAGGTCTTTCTTCTACTGGTTCACCCCCCAAATGGCAGCTACGGCCTGCGCGCTGCACCTATCCGAAGCCTGGAGCCAGGTGCTTCCTCCTGGTCACCCATGCGTGTGCAGGGCCCAAGGACTTGGGCCATCCTCCACTGCCCTCCCGGGCCACAGCAGAGAGCTGGACTGGAAGAGGAGCAACTGGGACAGAATCCAGCTCCCCAACCGGGACTAGAACCCGGGGTGCCGGCGCCGCAGGAGGAGGATTAGCCTAGTGAGTTGTGGCGCCGGCCATCTTCTCTATTTCTTTTTGCCTATCCATTTCTTTCCCATATTTCCCTGCACAGCCAAAGTCCCGATTCTCCTGGGACTTTTTTTGAAAGTCAACCTACACTTTTTCTTTGTTCATTTGCAAAGCGATCCTTGCCTGAGATCTGGTATGTTCTCCATTACCTCCTGCTGTCCAGTAACACCTCTTGAATCATTAGTGAAGTTTTCTAGGGGATATTCTTGAAATTCATTCTAGATTGTGAGCTTTTAAAAGACAAGATTATGTTTCCTTGGTTGTGGTTTCATTCCATAGCCCATTAGTGTAGTTACAAAAAATACTCAATAAATGTTTACTGATTGGTTGATTTTCCATTAGTCCATTAGGTCAAATACCACCCAGAATTTCTTTTTTTAAGAGAAAGAGTTTATTGGGGGAAACTCGGCAGACCAGAGGGAAGGAGCGAAGAAGGAAAAGAGGGAGAAGGAGAGCATAAGAGAGAGAGAGACAGAGACAGAGTTCAGGAGACAGAGAAAAAGTGAGAGAGGTGTAGAGGAAGAGAGAGAGAGAGAGAGAGAGAGAGAGATCAGGAGACGGGTAGAGAGAGCCATGTTTTCAGGAGCAGGTCCTTTTAAAACTTTGCTGGGGATGGCCGGGGCCGCGGCTCAACAGGCTAATCCTCTGCCTAGCGGTGCTGGCACACCAGGTTCTAGTCCCGGTCGGGGCGCTGGATTCTGTCCCGGTTGCCCCTCTTCCAGGCCAGCTCTCTGTTATGGCCCGGGAGTGCAGTGGAGGATGGCCCAAGTGCTTGGGCCCTGCACCCCATGGGAGACCGGGAGAAGCACCTGGCTCCTGCCTTTGGATCAGCGTGGTGCGCCAGCCACAGCACGCCAGCTGCAGCTGCCATTGGAGGGTGAACCAACGGCAGAAGGAAGATCTTTCTCTCTGTCTCTCTCTCTCTCACCGTCCACTCTGCCTGTCCAAAAAAAAAAAAAACAAAAAAACAACAAAACAAAACAAAAAAAAAACAAAATCAAAAACAAAACAAAACAAAACAAAAAAAAACCCAACAACTTTGCTTGGGGGGCAGGCAGGGAAAGGGAAGTCGGAGCACTGAATCCCATTAGGGTGGGGGTGGAGCTTGACACCAGTGGTTGGGCCATGTGGCCACCTGGCTTCCAGCAATGGCAGTGGGGGCTAGAGCCTAGGATGATGACAGGGTGTAGATAGCACCATAGATAAGACTGTGCCGTATTAGTAACATCCCCCCCCCTTTTGTTTTTTATAAAGCAGGAGTTGTATGGGATTACATTAGTCCCAAAAGTCCAGGAGGATGATGATTTGTCTTTTTTTTTTTTTTTTGACAGGTGACAGGCAGAGTGGACAGTGTGAGAGAGAGACAGAGAAAGGTCTTCCTTTACCGTTGGTTCACCCTCCAATGGCCGCTGAGGCCGGCACACTACGGCCGGCGCGCTGCACTGATCCGAAGCCAGGTGCCAGGTGCTTCTCCTGGTCTCCCATGCAGGTGCACTCCCGGGCCACAGCAGAGAGCTTGCCTGGAAGAGGGGCGACCAGGACAGAATCTGGCGCCCCGACCGGGACTAGAACCGCAGGGTGCTGGCGCCGCAGGCAGAGGATTAGGCTATTGAGCCGCAGCGCCGGCCATGATCTGTCTTTAGAGCTACTTCCTGCTGACATGGGGTGATGAGGTACTCTTCTCTGGCATGGGGAGATGTATCAAGCTACTGTCTCATGCCACCCAGAATTTTGTGGAGAAAAAAAAAAAAGCCAAACCATGAACATGACAATATTCCAGGGTGTGTGAGGTAGTAGGCAACATGGTGGGTTTCTGCTTCCTTAGAAATAAGGCAAGGATTGGAGAATGGGGACAAAAATGGTTCAGAGGGCAAGTAAGTTTTAGAATTATTTGGATCCACAAAGTTACAAGGGTACTTTATTGCAGAATTAAAAAAAATATTTTAATATTCTAATATTGCATTAGGAATCTCCAAGAGTGAACTATCAAATGAGTTATTTTTCATTCCTATGTGATCATGAAATATTTTTCCCATGATTCCAATGTTCCATGGAAATATTTAGAAGATGTACCTTGAGAGCCTTAACACCTTCCTTCTAGAGATCCTTTTCTCTTTTTACTCCTCTACTTTTGCCTGATCAGCCACTCTCCTAAGGCAGGTTCTGTATTACCACCCAATTTATTCTTTCCTGCAGTTTGCAGCCTCATCTATACATATGTATGCCTTATTGCATTGTTCTGTATGGAATAATTTCACAGTTTGGGGGCAGAGATTGTCTGTTTGTCTCCAGAAGTTTTCTGCAGCAATAAATATATTCTTCTAGGGGTTTGCAGGCCTGACCTTTGGTGTATGTTCCACCACTGACTTGATATGTGTGACTTAAGTCAAGTCACTGTTCCTCTCTGGGCTTCATTTCCTCATTTGTAGTGTGGGATTGTTATAATTACTTATCTCTAAGCTTTTTAAGATGAAAGACTCTGAGATATCCCTGGAGATCCTCGACTCCTGCTGAGTATGGGCTATTGAATGTGCAGTTCCTTATACCAACAGAAATGCATCCATGATTCTTTCTCAGACCCAGGGATTCTTTTCTCTAAAGATAGTAGGAAAAAAAAGATAGTAGGAAAAGATAATGGGCATTTTCTTTTTTTTTATTTTTTATTTTATTTTTTTATTTTTTATTTTTTGACAGGCAGAGTGGACAGTGAGAGAGAGAGACAGAGAGAAAGGTCTTCCTTTGCCGTTGGTTCACCCTCCAATGGCCACCGCGGCCGGCGCGCTGCGGCCGGCGCACCGCGCTGATCCGATGGCAGGAGCCAGGAGCCAGGTGCTTTTCCTGGTCTCCCATGGGGTGCAGGGCCCAAGCACCTGGGCCATCCTCCACTGCACTCCCTGGCCACAGCAGAGGGCTGGCCTGGAAGAGGGGCAACCGGGACAGAATCCGGCGCCCCAACTGGGACTAGAACCCGGTGTGCCGGCGCCGCTAGGCGGAGGATTAGCCTAGTGAGCCGCGGCGCCGGCCGATAATGGGCATTTTCAAAGGCTTGTATTGTGAACACAGAGCTGTTTCACGAAAGAAGCTGAGGTTTCTGCTGGGTGGGGGCTCTGTTGCAGAGGTTTGTAAGAACAATGGGGGAAGAAGAAGTTGCTCCTTTCACCAACTATCTAGTGTGTGGGATGAGAAAACCACCAACGTTTTGACCATGGTCTTTGCAGAATGGGTGGTGGTAAAATATGTCTCGTCCTTGTTCACTTTTGTGTACTACTTTTACTTCTGTAACCATCTCCAAAGGGGAGCAGTTCCTAGTGGAATCTATGCTGGCACTGAAGTTTATGGGAACCAGAAATGCAAAATGGAGGCTTACAAGAAGAGTGAGGAAGTTGATTTGGTCATGAATAACATGGGGGGAAGGAAGCAGTGTAAATCTCATCCAGAATAGATCCTTACAGGGGAGCATGATTTAAAGGCACATGAATGTGTGCACACACACACATACCATTTCTGTTTGAGTAGGAAGATGTGTTCTTACCCCTAACCTCTAGAAGGGGCTAGGAGTTAGAGAAGATAATCTAGGAAGAACGCAACTTCAAACCAAAAAGAATTTCTGATTCAAAGAGGTAGAAATCCTTGATGGTGGTGCATATACTTTGTAAAGAAGTGGAGCCCTTCATTTCTTCATGCTTAGTGCCTGGAGACAGAAGAAATACTCCTTCTTCTTAAGGTTTTCAGTTAATTTGTGAAGAGTCATCCAAGTGGAGCTGGCAAGATGACAGAGACGTAAATGGTAGCCAATGGTCAGCTGTGCTCCGGCTGGGCCAACCTGTGAAGTGAGACAGGAGTGGCATAGGCAGGAAGGGACCTTTTCCAAAAAGCAAAGGTGCTATTCATACTCCCAGGGGCCCCAACTATTTTAGTTATTTTCACTTTAATCACTTTTGATATATTTCTACCATACCTTGAGAGAAGACCAACAAAACTGAGGTTGTTGTCATTAGATATTTATTGAGAACCAAAAGAATATCAGAGAACTAGACTCACAGTGCAGGGGCAAAAGTGAACCCTGGCCTGTGATATGATGATTTCAATTAAAAGCTGTCTGGTCCTGGAGACAGGGAAGTGATCATGAACATAACTAATCCCCTGAACTGGCCGAGCTGAGCTTCCCTCTATAGGTGGTAAGAGGCCAAAGTTGAGTGATGACTAGAGGTATAATGATGAAGTCTTAGTGCTATGAGCATTTCCCTCTGGTTTTAGAAAGGGGTAATGGAATTCCCAGGCACGGATACTAGAAGGGCTCAGGGTCAAACCCAGAAGCTGGCTTGCTTAGAGTGCATATGGTAAACTCTTAGGCAAAGCCAGCTGCTGCCAGGGGTCTTAATATTTGCAGGGAAGACACTTTAGACTATGAAGAGTGGTAGCAGGGAAGAGGGTCACACAGAAGACAGGGACTGAATAAGTAATTGTGTTAGCAGACTCTGGCCTTATGGGGGCATTCTTAGCAAACACTCTTGCCCTCAGTGGCAAGAACCTCATAATCCGGGTGTACTGTGTTCATCAGGCAGGCGTAGTCACCGTTGATCTGGGTGATGATCTGGTACTCCTGGCCCAGGCAGGGCTCATCGGAGTAGTCGTTGCCCAGAACTCGGGAAGCTGACTCATCGCTGGAGCAGCCACTTGTGAGGAAGGCCACCTTCATGGTTTCTCCAGAGTTGCTGGATTCCCTGGTATGCACCCTATGGTCCAAGAGCCCACAGCACCCATGAGAAGAGGCTTGAGATCAGGGCCCTTATTTTCCACCCCTTAGCCTCAATTCTTGCCAAAGTGACCCTTAGGCTTTTGCCAGCCAGCTTTTGCCAGCCTGCTCCTTCTGGGAGCAGAAGGCTGTTGTATCTAAATTATCTTGAATGTTTGTTGAGCCAGGACAGAAGCTGAGGGGGTATCTCAAAAAGGGAAGAAAACTGTGTCCTGACTGAAGACTCCTGGCCTTACTATTTGATCTGTGCCACACCCCCTTTCCTTTATGATTTCTGCCAGTGACCAATAAAATTGAGGGCAGGGAAGGGGTCAGAGGATGGAAGAGGAGAGGCTATCTTACCTGGCCACTTCATAGACATGCTCTAGAAAAGAAGGAGGAATTGGGTCAGAAGTTTCCATGGGAAGTGGACACAAGGGCTAAGCATAGACCCTGAGTACCAGTCAATAGGAGAGGGAGGGGGACAGAGAGGAGTTTCAATACATTTCAGCTTTCCAACAACTGAGAGTTATTGGAAAGATGAGTTGGAACACAAGAATTCAGATTAATCGGGGAAGAGTAAGGAGGCACACTTGGTCACTATTCTATTTAGTATAGTATCTGTGACTCAGAATATTGGGCTAGAGGGATTACTTGTGGGTGGGATTTGGGCCCTGGAATTGGACCCATTCTGCACCTAGAAATCTCATCAAATGTCTCCAGAGAGTCCTTGTGGGAAATTTGGCAACCAGGCCACATTCCAAAAAGGGGCTGTATTAAGTCTGATGCCAAGAACCCTGGTCCAAGCCCATCCTGAGTGTACTCATCCCTAACCCACACCCAGGAAAGGTTCAAAAATAGGTTACCATTGCCTCCTAGTGTCTGTGGAAGAGAAATACCTTATATTCCATATAAGTTCAAAGCTTCATTCAGCTTGGTACAAAAATGGATGTCTTGTGGTACTGCCCTTTTCTAGGTGCCTATAATCTTTCAAATATGTAAGTGGGGATACAAGCATCAAAGACCACAACAAAGTAAACAGGGCAAGCCACGAGCCTTCTGCCTTGTGGCAGAGCTTTACGTTCTCTTGTTTTACCTACCCCACTGGCCTGGGAGCTCCTATACAATTGAGGTCATGTCTTTTTCATCTTTATATGCTCAGTGCTTGGTACACAGTAAGTGCTCAGTAAGAACATGTTAAATTGAATTTATGTCAGAAACTGTCTCCTCCGTAGTGTGAAAAAAACCAGGAATTCTGGGAATGCAATCCAGGAAGGGAAAAGACATAAAGACATGATGCATAAGGCTTATTTGATGGACTTCAGTGACTAGAAGTACAAATAGGTACGTGGGAGTGGTGGTAGGAGAGAAGATAAACTAGAGCCACATCACAGAAGACCCTGACTAGAATGCTATGCTTTTACCTCTATCCTCTGGGTCATGTAGAGAAATAGAGTGTGTTTTGTGAGGGAAACAATATAATATCATTCTACTTGGCTGGTGCCACGGCTCGATAGGCTAATCCTCCACCTAGTGGCGCCGGCACACCGGTTCTAGTCCCGGTCGGGGGGCTGGATTCTTTCCCAGTTGCCCCTCTTCCAGGCCAGCTCTCTGCTGTGGCCAGGGAGTGCAGTGGAGGATGGCCCAAGTGCTTGGGCCCTGCACCCCATGGGAGACCAGGAGAAGCACCTGGCTCCTGGCTTCAGATCAGCGCGGTGCACCAGCCGCAGCATGCCAGCCGCGGCGGCCATTGGAGGGTGAACTAACGGCAAAAGGAAGACCTTTCTCTCTGTCTCTCTCTCACACTATCCACTCTGCCTGTCAAAAAAAAAATATAATATCATTCTACTTATGCCCAGCCTCAACAAGACTGTGATGTTTTTTCATGTTCCTAGGGTTTGTGGCCATTTGTGGTATCTCCACTCCATAGTTTATTCTCATGAGTGATAACCATTTTAACTGGCCAAAGCCAGAGTTTAATCCTCGAGAAAAATATACATTCAAGAGTCGTTTCTCTTTAGTTGAAGAGACACATGGTGGAAACTAAGCAATTTAGGAGTAGAAAATACTATTTATAAAGAGACAAATTGATGCTAGGAGCAATGGCTAGTTCAGTGGGCATTGAGGTATAGCAAGGTTTTTCTCAAAAACAAAAATCCCAGTTCTTCTTTTCCTCTTCTGTTGGCTTATAGTTGTTAAATGGCTCTGACAACTGCATCTTCATCATGCCATTTCCCTTCTCAAAATTTTTTCCTACCTTTTGTTGTATTTTCAAGGCTCAATGAAGAAAGTTCAAATTTTTTAGCCTGTTATTCAAGGCCTTCTATAATAATGAACTTTGCATTTCCCAATTACTCATGTATATGGATTTTCTTTATTGATGACTTCACTCTTAGTTGTCTTTTAGGCCTTTACACTTTTGAATGTGTGGTTCCTCCTTCCTAAAATACTACCCCTTTACACATCATTTTCAACCTCAAGGCCTGGTCTAAGTTTCATTTTCTTCTGAAATCCTAACTGATTCACTTTTCTTCTGGATCCCTTTAGCATTGAATCCATAGCCTTTGTTGCTATGTATTATTATTGATAAACTCCATACTTGTATCCATACATGAGTCCAACAAACACACTGTAATCAATTTGACAGCAGTGGCTGTGACTTCTTTTCTTGAGTGCTTATGAAGTGACTCATTATAATTATTCTTGATTAGGTACCAAAAATCTGTGCATTTACTTCCATGATAAGTCTTATGTCATTGTTGGTTTGAATATCTTGTCTCCTTGTATCACTATGCTCACTCCCAAACTAGGTTGGTAGCCTTTTGAAATGTTCAGTGCAATGCCTGATGCAGAGAGTAGGCTCAAAAATACTGCCAAAAAGAATGAGGGCAAAAAGCTACCCAGCCATAGTTATCACTCACCTTGTTGGGATGTCTTTCGGCAGAGCATGATATAAGACATGGTGAAAACCACCATACAGCACAAGGAAATGATGAGAATGATGGCAAAGATGGGCAGGCCCTTTCCTAGAAGGTAAAACAAGACCCAGGTGTTTTGGTTGAAAATGAGGTTGGAAAGAGGAACTCTAATGACCAGTCAGACACGCTTAGGTATCTTTTCCATTTCCCATTTTCTTGGCTAGCACAAACAAATTTCCACATTCATGAGAAATACTTGGGAATGGCTACAGATGTCAAGTCTAAACAAATTCTGGGAGATTCACTTGTTGATGGCTAATTGAACTGGCAATTTAAGCCAATCCTCCATGCTTTCCATGGAGGTAAGACATAAGGTTTTTACCTTTCCTTACAAAGAATAAATTAGTACCCTGACATCCCAGTTTCAGCAAAATGCTATCATATGGAGAACCTGGTCAGTCACTGCTAGACACAAAGATTCTTTCCCTTGTACTCTCTGGCAAAATACCCAGCTTCCTTCCTTTTCAAAGCATATTTCCATTGAGAAACCTTTGGTACAAATCTCCTCATGCCTAAAAGCAGAAAGAACACACTGAATGTAGCCTACATTTATGGATCTTTTATTTACTCGGGGTATGATTGTGGTAGATAGAATAATGGTCTTCCAAAGATGTTCATACCCAAATTCACAGAAACTTTGAGTGTGTTAGTTTACACTGTAAAGAGAAGTTATAGTTGTAGATAGAGTTAAGGTTGGGGCAGGCATTATGGTGTAGCCAGTAAAGCTGATGCCTGCTATGCTAGCATCCCATATGGGCGCCGGTTCCGGTACCGTCTGCTTCACTTCTGATTCAGTTCCCTGCTAATGTGCTTGGAACAGCAGCAGAAGATGGCCCGCCCAAAAACTTGGGCCCCTGCACTCACGTGGGAGGCCCAGAAGCTCCTGGCTCCTGGCTTCATCCTGGTCCAGTTCTGGCAGTTTCAGTCATTTGCAAAGTAAACCAGGAGATAGAAGACTCTCTCTCTCTCTCTCTCTCTCTCTCTCTCTCTCTCCTCCTGTCTTTGTGACTCTGACTTCCAAATAAACAAATAAATTTTAAAATAGAATTAAGGGTTGACAGTTATTGGTGGTTTAGACTGGGTGGGGGGATTAGCTTGCATTAGCTCTGTGGGCTCAATGTAATCACAATGGACCTTAAAATGGGAAAAAGAAAACAAAAAGAAACCAGAATCAGAGAAAGATTTGAGGATATTACATTGCTGATTTTGAAAATGTAAGAAGGAGGATTTGAGTCAAAGAATGTGGGTAGCGTCTAGAAAGTGGGAAAGACAAGGATTTGGCTTTTTCCTAAAGCCTGCAGGAGGAATGTGGATCTGTTGACATTTTGATTTTAGCTACATGATAACTGTGTCTGACTTCTGATCTGTGTAAGTTTAAGATAATATATTGATAATGTTTAATGCTTCTACATTTAGGGGAAGTTTTCACAACATACATGGAAATATGAATACAGTGACCTTAGTCAAATCCTTGTCTGTCCTCAGCATGGTTTCCCTATAAGTTCAATGAAAAGATTGAATTATGTCTAATGGACATTCAGCTGTAATATTCTGAATCTATGAGGATAGGTAAGAAGATAGAGAGAGGTACAAAAAGGAACTCCAACGTTTGTTGCTACAGTTGGCTTTATTTTTACTAGACACTAAGATATTGTCTCCTAGAAATCAGGTGTGTGTGGTCTTCAAGACAGATTGGAACTGATGGAACTTAAGATGTAAGTTTAAAACAGATAAAAGATTTCCTCTTGAGGTGAGTCAAGGACTGAAAAACAATACAGTAAATATGGCATAGATGCAACTTATACTCCTCCCAAGGTTATTTCTTATCTTCCCAAACCAACTCTCATTATCTAACTTATCTTCTCCCAGTGATGTAGCCCGGGAAGAGACATGGAAATTAGGAAGCCTCCAAGCCAAAAGTGGCAATGCAAAGTTTGCACAGGAACCTAATTTGAGTTATGCCAAGAAACTCTGCAACTAGGAAATGAGAGGCACAAAGGGTATTCAGAAGTCCAAAGATAAATAGCAAAATAATGAGACCAAGAGTGGCAGGCATCAGACTATTTAACACCAATAAATCAAAACAGATGCTTAGTGTATATCTGGAGTCTTGACGTCCCCTGGTATACTAGGCATTAATATTTCTGTTGTAGGTCTATGGAGTTGTCTGGAGAATTCTAGGGCATGGGTCATGACAACACAGTGGTTCGTTAAAGGAAACAGTTAGTTATTGACTGTTATATAATATTTTATTTTAGCCATCAATGCAGTAATGTCAGTGCAAACCAGCAGACTCTCAGTTCCAGATGAAACACAGAAGATCTTGTCTTAGTGGTTTGAATCTATGAGATACTTATTTGGGGACCCTTGAGACTTTGGAGGAATCAAAAATCAGCTGAAAGCTACTTGGAAATCCTTGGTTAAGAGCTAAAGTAGTGAGATGCCGCCACTATCCTCACCTGGCTCAATGCCCATCTCTCTAAGAGAATTTGCTGACATCATGGTGCTATCCCTATTCTTGCTCAGAATGCTTGGGAAGTATATTATTATGGCAACAAGGAAAAGGATAAGAACAAATTCACTGCTCCCCCCCTTTTTTTTCTGACAGCCAGAGTGGACAGTGAGAGAGAGAGACAGAGAGAAAGGTCTTCCTTTGCCGTTGGTTCACCCTCCAATGGCCGCCGCGGCTGGCGTGCTGCGGCCGGCGCACTGCGCTGATCCGAAGCCAGGAGCCAGGTGATTCTCCTGGTCTCCCATGGGGTGCAGGGCCCAAGAACTTGGGCCATCCTCCACTGCACTCCCAGGCCACAGCAGAGAGCTGGCCTGGAAGAGGGGCAACCGGGACAAAATCCAGTGCCCCGACTGGGACTAGAACCTGTGTGCCGGAGCCGCTAGGCGGAGGATTAGCCTATTGAGGCGCGGCGCCGGCCCCACTGCTCCTTTTAACCCCAGTGTAACTTGGCTCTCTATCCCATCTACCCCATTAATTTCCAGGGCCCTTGCTGCTTTGCTGAATTTAATGCTGCAGGACAATGTGTATAGTGGGAAGTTCTAGTAGCAAAGCTCAAACCCGAGGAGTAAGGATAGAAGTTCTGATATTGCTCTTACCTGGCCCAGTAATGGTTTCCCCACGGTACCCATCCACTTCAGTGGTCCAGTTCCAGGATGGGTTCATCATAGACGTCACTGTGAGAACAGGAAATTAGAATAAGAGTCCTCTCCTACATTCAGGAACCATGCGGTAGGGGATGGCTGCAAAGGTGGGGGCACTTCTCTGGGCAACTGTGATGTGCCTTCAAGTGTACTTGGTCATGTCATTGACAACTAATACTATGAGATGAGGCATCTTAGTTTCTTACTGTTTGGAGTGCTTAGTGGGAAGAAAGCAGATATGGGGATGTAGTATTTCCCAAATCATATAGAAAGTCAGGCTAGGAGCAAAACTTAAGTCACAGTGTTTTTCTGCTTTTCCAATGGGGATGTTTTAATTTTATATTTTGCCTCTGTAGTTTTCACAAAGAAAAATATGTGCATATATTTATGATTCCATTTTTTGCCACCCTTAATGCATTGATATCTTTCTTTTGCTTCCATTCTTTTACTGCCATTTTCTCACTGAGGAACCCAGTGATTTTTTTTTTTTTCATTTTTTGATTCCTATCCAGTGGCATTAGGGCTTCTTTCTTGGCTTCCATGGCATCATTTCAGACCTCTTCTATTCCTATAGGCACACTGTATGATAATGAGTAACAGGCCTCAGACAATTTAACACCAACAAATCAAAACAGTAAAAACTCACCTTCCAAGGGCAATTGCGTGGTTATATGTGTCTCAATTTTGGTAGGTGCCTCAGTCGTGATCTTGGGTGGCTTAGAGGAATCTGAAAGTAAAAAGGGAGCCTCATCAGGGGCTCTGGTATCTCTGGATAAACAGTTGAATGCTCCAGGGAATTTGGAAATAAGTAAAGATACTGCAGATCTATACTTGGACATGTCGCATCATTTCTCTCATGGTGCTAAGTCCTATGTTGCCTTTCATCCTTTATACCTCATTCTAGGGCAGAAGTCTTAAACCAGGATTCATAGAGCTCTAAGGAACCCATATATAGAGTTCAGAGGGTGTTTTCATTCAGAAATATATATTTTGTCTTGTTTTTATTTTGTTTGTAGCTCATTTTTTCTTATCTTAAAAGGCAATAATTATAAATCTACACTGATGTGATTATAATACATAAAGATGTAATTTGTTACAATTTCAGCATTAAAGAGAAGGAGTGGAGCTATATAGAAACAAAGTTCTTGCATACTATTATATACTATTTACTATATTGTAAATTAAAAATTAATGGCAATTCTAAGGGCAAGTACCAAGAGAATAACTCAAAATATATAGTAAAATGAATAACAAAGGTATTACATAGTGCACTAGAAATTATATATTTAATATCAAAGATGGTAGCAATGAAGGAATTAAAAAATATGAAAGACCTGAGACATAAGAAATAAGTAATAAATCATCACCTTATGTGATCTTAAGCAATCAAATTTAATGGAAGAGAATCATGGAGTGGATTAAAAATATAATGTGTTATATGCTATGCACACTTAGGGTTCAAAGGCACAAATGATTTGAAAGCAAAAAAATGGAAATATGTATCTTGAAAATAGTAGCAAATATAGAGTTAGAGAAACTTTAGTGGTATCTGACAAAAGGGATTTCCAATAGAAGATTTTTACTAGATACAAAGAACAATTTATAATTATAAAGTGATAAATTCAAGAAATTATAATTTATAATTATAAAGTGATAAATGTCAAGAAGACACTTCAAATATAAACAGATAAGCACCTAACAGTAGAGCCCCAAAATACAGGAAGCAGAAACCTACAGCGCTGAAAGGAGAATAAATAATTCAATAAAAATTGTTTGAGACTCTACTTTCAGTTATGGATAGAGCAACTAGACAGAAGAGCAACAAAGAAAATGAAGACTTCAACGGAACAGCATTATTAACCAACTAGTTCTAATAGACATATACAGAGCACTCCACACAACAGCAACAGAATACACATTATTTTCAGTGCACATGAATCATCATACAAAAGAGTTCATATGTGAGGCCATGAAACAAACCTCTTGGGACCCACGTTATTGTGCAGTGGGTTAAGCCACCGCCTGTGAGGTCAGCATCCCATATGAGAACAGGTTAAAATGTTGGCTGCTCCACCTCTGATCCAGCTCCCTGCTAATGTGCCTGGTAAAACAGTGGAAGGTGACCCAAGTGCTTGTACCCCTGCAACCCATGTTGGAGACTTAGATGGAGTTCTTGGGTCTTGGATATGGCCTGGCTCAGCCCTGGTCGTTGAAGCCACTGGGGAGTGAATCAGCAAACAGAAGTATCTTTCTCTGTGTTTCTCCTTCTCTCTGTAATTCATCCTTTCAAATAAATAAACATTTTTTAAAGATATATATCTAATATTGAAGTATTGTTGTGTTCCTTTTGTGGAGTCATTCATAAGAATAAAATTGATATCTTGAGTTTTCATTATTGTCTATGCGACTGAGGAACAGTGATCTTTCTACATACTAATTGTTGAATTATTTATTTAGTGGAGGGTTAAGCTTGTGACTATAAATTAAAAGTACGTTACTGCAGAAATTAAAAGAAAAATAAGAAAAGAAGAAAGAAGGAGAGTGGGGGGTTATCATTTTAAAAAGATGTATTTATTTGTTTGAAAGTCATAATTACAGAGAGAGGAAGAGACAGAGAGATCCTCCATCCACTGGCTCATTCCTCAGATGGCCACAGAGGCCAGGACTGGACCAGGCCACAGCCTGGAGATTCTTCCAGGTCTTCAATGTGAGTGACAGGGACCCAAACACTTGGGCTATCCACTTTCTTTCCTGGGCCATTTAGCAGGGAGCTGGATCAGAAGTACAGTAGCTAAGACATGAACCGGCTCCCATATGGGATGCCAGTATTGCGGGCAGTGACTTTACCCGCATTGCCACAATGTATGCCCCTATTATGTTCTTTTTTTCTTAAAAGATTTATTTATTTATTTGAAAGTCAGAGTTACACAGAGAGAGGAGAGGGAGAGAGAGAGAGAGAGAGAGAGAGAGAGAGAGAGAGAGAGTTTTCCATTCGATGGTTTGGTTCACTCCCCAATTGGCCACAATGGCCGAAGCCATGCCAATCTGAAGGCAGGAGCCAGGAGCTTCTTCTAGGTCTCCCACATGGGTGCAGGGCCCCAAGGACTTGGGCCATCTTCCACTGCTTTCCCAGGCCATAGCAGAGAGCTGGATTGGAAGTGGAGCAGCCGGGCCTTGAACCGGTGCCCATATGGGATGCACCACAGCGCCGGCCCCCCCATTATGTTCTTAAACATGTATATATGAAATAAATCTTGGGGCTTGTATTCTGGCATGGAGGGTTAAGCCATCACTTGCAATGCCAGCATCCCATATGGGCACCAGTTTGAGTCCTGGCTGCTCCATTTCTGATCCAGCTCCCTACTAATGCACCTGAGAAAGCTGTAGAGGATGGCTCAAGTGCTCGGACCTCTGAACCCAAGTGGGAGACTCAGAAGAAACTCCTGGCTCCTGGCTTCAGTCTTACCCAACCTTGGCCATTGCAGCCATTTGGGGATTGAACCAGCAGATGGAAAGTTTCTCTCCCCCCACCCCCCGCACCGTCTCATCTCTCTGTAACTATGCCTTTCAAATAAATAGATCTTTTTTGTTTTGACAGGCAGAGTGGACAGTGAGAGAGAGAGAGAGACAGAGAGGAAGGTCTTCCTTTTCCATTGGTTCACCCCACAATGGCCACTGCAGCCAGCGCGCTGTGACCGGCGCACCGTGCTGATCCGAAGCCAGGAGCCAGGTGCTTCTCCTGGTCTCCCATGCGGGTGCAGGGCCCAAGAACTTGGGCCATCCTCCACTGCACTCCCAGGCCACAGCAGAGAGCTGGCCTGGAAGAGGGGCAACTGGGACAGAATCCGGCGCCCCGACCGGGACTAGGACCCAGTGTGCTGGTGCTGCAGGTGGAGGATTAGCCTGAGACATGGTGCTGGCCTCAAATAGATCTTAAAAAAGAGAAATACAAGAAATATGTTCCCTTTATATAAGTAAATAAATGTAAAAAAGAAAAAAATAAAGAAAATTCATTGAATGTGAAAGAACCAAAGTAATATTATGTTCCCCAACTAAAATGAAATTAGAGCTAAATAACAGAAAATAATTTCTCAAGAAGAGACGAAAAAAACAAAAATGACAGATCTTTAACAAGATTGAACTGCTAATCAAACAGCCACAAAGAAAAGGTCAGATTCAGGTGGATTCACAGGATGATTCTACCAAACTTTAGAGAAAAATCAATGTCATGGGTGGTACTTTAGTCTAGTGGCTAAAGATAAGTTAAGATATCTACATCCCACATCTGAGTAACTGGGTTCAATACTTGACTCTGGCTCTTAATTCCAGCTTCTGGCTAATGAAAACCTTTGGAGTAAGCAGCGATAGTGCAAGTAATTGAGTTCCTGCCACCTACTTGGGAAACCTGAATTGAGCTCTTGGCTTGATTTGACCTTGGCCTAGCCCAAATCACTGTGAGCATTTGGGGAATGAACCAATTTGTGGGGTTTGCTGTCTCTGTTTCTCTCTCGTTCTCCCTCTCAAATAAAAAAAAGACAAATGATGCTAATTCTTTATAAATTATTTAAAAATAGTAAATAAATTGCAGCATAGTATATGAGACCAGGATTAGTCTGATATAAAACAAAACTAAGAACCAATATCTTGGGGCCGGCGCTGTGGCATAGTGGGTAAAGCTGCTGCCAGCGGTGCCAGCAATCTTTATGGGCACCAGTTCGAGTCCCAGCTACTGCACTTCTAATCCAGCTCTCTGCTATGGCCTGAGAAAACAGTGGAAGATGGCGCAAGTCCTTGGGCCCCTGCACCCGCATGGGAGAACTGGAAGAAGCTCTTGGCTCCTGGCTTCAGATTGGCACAGCTCTAGCTGTTGCAGCCATTTGGGGAGTAAACTAGCAGATGGAAGACCTCTCTCTCTCTCTCTCTCTCACTCTCACTCTCTATCTCTCTCTGCCTCTCCTTCTCTTTGTATTTTTATTCAAATAAAGAATAAAAAAGAAAATAAATAAATCTTTTAAAAAAATTTCCCTTGTGGATATATATATATATATGTGTATCTATATCTATATCCATATCTCTATCTATGTATATATATATACACAAAAAATCTTTTTAAATTTCTAGCATACCACATCCAGCAGTATATTGAAAGGATTATACAGCTTGGCCAAATTTGATTTATCCCAAGATAGTAAGATTGTATCAACATACAAAATGAGTCAATATTTTATTAATAAAATATAGAGAAAAAATGAACACCAAAATCTCAATAGGCACAGAGGGGGATTTGACACAATCTAACACCCTTACATTTAAAACATTTAACAATTAGAAATAGAACCTTGTCACTTTGTTAAACAGTATCTATAAAAAGACCACAAGTAGTATCAAATTCCTTGGTGAAAGACTAAATATGTTTTCTATAAGATCGGGAATAAGAGAAGGCTATCCTCTAGCCATGTTTATTCACCATTTGCTAAACGTATTAACCTGGATTATGCCAACAACAACAACAACAAAAGAAATAAAAATGATCTGGATTAGGAAGGAAGAAGCGAAATTATCTCTAGTTTTAGATGGCATGACCATATATGGAACAGTCTTAAAAATTTGTCAATAAATGTGTTCAACAAGTGCACAAGATGGATATAAAATTATCAGTAGTATTTCTATACATTATCAATTTATAAGACAAAACTGCTATTAAGAAAACAATTCCACTAACATTAA